ATGGAGCCTTGTTATTAAGGGCTTTGTATGTTAGGAGAAGGATTTTAAATTCTATTCTGAATTTTACAGGGAGTCAGTGGAGAGAAGCTAATATGGGAGAGATATGATCTCTCTTGCTAGTTCCTGTCAGTACTCTGGCTGCAGCATTTTGGATTAGCTGGAGGCTTTTTAGGGAATTATTGGGACATCCTGATAGTAAAGAGTTACAGTAGTCCAGCCTGGAAGTAACAAATGCATGGACCAGTTTTTCAGCATCACTTTGAGACAGGATGCTCCTGATTTTTGCAATATTGCGCAGGTGGAAGAAGGCAGATCTAGAGACTTGGTTTATGTGTGATTTAAAGGACATATTCTGATCAAAGATGACTCCAAGGTTCCTCACAGTAGTACTGGAGGCAAGAGCTATGTCATCTAAAGTAACTATATGATTAGACAGCAGATTTCTAAGGTTTTCAGGCCCAAGCACAATGACTAAACCATAAAACAGTTTATTGCTCCAGTCGCCACAGTCAGGTGTTGAATTCTAGCACCAGATATCTCTGTGGAAATGAAATGAACACAGCCAATATTTTACTCCAGGTTGCAGTATCAACATCTGTGTAACTGGTCGTGCAGAATATTTCTTCATTATGTTAGGAGGAGAGATGGGATCCATTCTGTTGCACAGGGAGTGGGGCTGGGACACCAGGGACATCAGGTCACCTTCAGCTCTGGAAACTCCTGATGGACATTTTTCACTGTTTGCCAACATTTTATAGACCAGCCTGTGAAAATGCACCATCCCTTGTGGAGCACTTTGTGCTACGGCTCACCTTTTTTGGTGTTTTTACTCTGTACCACACACAACCTGGACAAATCACATCTCGTCTGAAGTCTTCCTGATTCTATCTCTTCTCCTACACCATGCGGAAAGTTTATTTTAGAGTCAATATCAACAGCCTGGGTCGGTTCAGACCTGTGGCTCCAAAGTATTTTCCACACCAAAGGATCTTCTACCAGACTCATGTTCTCTTGTTTTAGGCCAGAAAAGAGGAAAAGAAATGACATTTATTCCATGTTTGTGGCTCTGTACCTTTGGTTCAGTACCTCTTATGCTCATTCTGACTTTCTGTTGTAAAACTGAAGCGGCTGCATTTCAAAGGGTTTAGGACTCTGATCAAGAAACCATTGAGGGTTAAACACTGACACATGAGACTGAGTGTATCCAGTACATTCAACATATTTCCTTGTTCATGTTTTAAACTCCTGGAGCAGCAGCACATTATTTATGCATTCACACATAATAAATTTAAAGCATGGCAGTATGAATTGTGCTGGATGTGGCGGTGAGCAGTTTGCCGTAGTCGTCACTAATCCCCATCAAGCAGCAGCGATTAGAGAACAGGCTCATGTTGGATTCATGAGCTGGCGACTGGCTAACCCTAACCCACTTGAAGTGAGCTTCATTTTACACTGCTGATGAGTCAGCAGCAGCACAGACCAACTTTAGCTCAGTGTGTTTGGTCTTTCCTGTTGTGTTGACACCAGGGAGGCTTTGTTCAGTGTCGGACACGAGGGAGAGGCTGAGGATTTTTGGTAAACTGGGTTTTGTTTTGTTTTTTTTACAGCAGAACAACACAGCTCTGGGTTTATCACTGATTTCTACTGTGGAATGATCTTTTAAAAAGCTAAAACCATAACATATTTCTCTCCCTCTTTTTTCTTTATTTCATCCTCTCTCATCACGTCCACTTTTCTTTTCCTGTCTCCATCTTTTTACTGTTGTTTACCTGTCTCCAGGTAATGATTTGTTCCTGGTGGCGGTGCACGAGCTGGGCCATGCACTGGGTTTGGAGCACTCCAACGACCCCAGCGCCATCATGGCTCCGTTCTACCAGTACATGGACACACACAACTTCAAACTGCCTCTGGACGACCTGCAGGGCATACAGAAGATCTACGGTAGGGAGGCCACCTATAAGTGTGTCGTGCTTGACCTGGATGAAACATCCCACTGCTGTGTTCCAACATATTGAGGATGACTGAGCGGCATCGGGTTGTTCTGTTTGTTGTTCTGTTTGTTGGACTGTCTGTTGTCTGTCTGTTTAGCCACATTTTGTTAATGATTCACAGTGATACTGACGTTGGCCCAAGAAGGGCACAGACACGTTTCTACCCACCTGTTTTTATGCACCCTTTCAATTTGTGCATTTTAATTAGTCAAAAAATAAACCCCAGAAGTTCCCAGTTTGCCAGCTTTTCCAAATGATTCCCGGATCCCAGTTCCAGGGAGTCGGTGCTGGACGTTACTGCATTTGGATCAGATGTGATAGTGTTGTGTTTAATTATGTGACCTGGTCACACACACCAGGCTATGCTTGGAAACATGTTTTATTTTCCCAGAATTTCACAACATTTACCTGAAACGTTGCTGCTGTGTATTTGAGCATGTTTCTCTCAGAAATCAGTGATTTTGACAAAATGTGAGGCAACAAAGAATCTTGCAGCTTTGAGAAAACTCGGTTAATGGGGCAGGATGTTGGGCTGATGGGTGGAGCGAGCGCTGCATGTCAACAAGTGACAAAAAACAATAAAAATAATCATTCTTAAGAAAAAGCTGTAGATTTAAGACCTAAGTTAAAATGACAGTCCTTAAGATTTCAGTCCCAGGGGTTTGGCAGCACCTTTGGTTACTGGTGGAAACTTTATCCTACAGGAAACACTCCTCACTTACGTGCATTAAATGTGAATTGATAATAAAGTGCAAATGCATAAATACCGTTTAATGAACATCTTGAACTCTGAAATGGAGAGTTTGGACTCGACACTTCATTTGAGCCCTGAAAGCAAAGCGTTGCCAAAGCAAAAACACCTTGGATGTTAATTATTAATCCTAAAGCCCAGAGTGCAGCTGAATAATGAAGAAGCACAGTCCAGTGACCAGCAGCAGCAGTGAACATGTGGATATGAATGTGAAGCAGGAGGCTGATAAACACAGAGCGGCGCTGAGCCGTCTTTGCCTGGAGCAAGAGCTTTTTAAAAACAAGATATGCAGCTTTGTATCTTTTCCTTTGTGCTTCCACTGAGTGCACTTTGTTCCGTTTCAGAGAAGAAGAGATGCCTCACACTTTAGTAAGTGAACAAAGAACCGACTCCTGACGTGCGCTCCGTCACCGCTGATGGAGTCACGACAGCTTCTGTTGTAATGTAGTGAAACGTTTAGTTGTGACAGAGGGAGGCAGGAAAACCAAACATAACACAAAGTAACGTGTCTGCAGGGTCAGAAATAACACGTTCCCATCCAGATCATGTACCTTATCTGTAGCTGCTGTGTTATTGTTTCCTTTCACCTTCACTGCAGGAAGTTTATCTGTTTCCTTCAGAATGAAAAACAATCTTAACACCAAAGGTCACGGCACGGGGACGACTTTTCCAAACCAAAACAGTGCAGTCGGCAGCATTTGTCCAATGAGGACAGTCTGTTGTTTTAGCGCTCGTCCCCGTCTCTGGCAGCACCAACAGTGATGGGTTTTGTTTTAATGAGGCTGCTGGTGTGAGAGTAGTTTATGGTGAGATACAATTCTTCTTCCACATTTAAAAGTACAATGAGCACACATTTATTCTTTTTAAAACTGAGCTGTAAGTGTCTTAGATTTTAGTTTGACTCTTATTTTTAGCTGAGATCAGAAACATGCTGCTTCCTGCAGCCATGAATGAATCTCTGAACAAAATGTTGCTGCTCCTGGTCTGGGACATGCACGATCCTGCTCAGAGGATCTTACCTAAAAATTCATGCTTATATAACCAAAGTTGGTGACTCACAGTGTTGTGGATCTGTGTGTTCTATCAAAAATCCTATTTAAGCAAATGCAAACTGATTCCTGTCGTGGTCCTGTTTGCCACCAGGAATCCCCACAGCCATGCTGGAGCCCACCAGGCCGTTACCCACCTTACCTTCCCGACGGACACACTCCACCTCTGAGCGCAAGCATGACCGCCACTCCCGTCCGGCGCGGCCAGGACCCGGCGACCGGCCTGCACTGCCTGGAAATGGCAAACCCAACATCTGCGATGGCAACTTCAACACCGTGGCCTTCTTCAGACGGGAGATGTTCGTCTTCAAGGTGAGAGAGAGGCACAGAAACCTGGTGAATTGATACATGCAGTCTCATCCTGAGTGGGTGTTTGTGCTCTGCTGCACAGTTACAGCACAAACCGGTCCAAACCGATCCTGTCTCCAGCTCTGTCTGTCTGGCACTCGCTGCATATGAGTCAGAACCAGTTTGTGATGTGTCTCTTTGAATTGTATAGACTCTCTGTGCCTGTTGAAATGACTCATCTCTGAAGAAACTGAAGAGAATCGGTTCACATGTTCCTTTCATTTCTGGGTTCTTGTTTTTCTTGGTGTAGTTTCCTTCTCTGTGTGACATAGGCAAAGACGTCATAATGTACGAGGTGGACAGTAACTCTCAGGTTGTGACATCAGCCCCTTAAAGGCTGGAGCTTTATTTCTGGGAGTGGGTCCTTGCTTTGTTTGTCTTGTGGACAGGCACGATAACTGACATGCATGACACATCCACTTTCCTGCAAACGGTGCCACCGATGTTAGAGCGTGGATCGGGCTGAATATTTCTGTCCGCGCCCAAGACAGTTGAGCTTCCTGCTGTGCTTTTCTTCTTATCATTAAACAAAGCAGACGTGCACGCTCCAGCCATCTAGCCTAAGGTTTGACCTACGTATCTGAACCTGACCCAAACATAATTTATACATTTCTATCCGCGCCCTCAGGTACCAACAGGTCACATCAGGCTCAGTTCAGGAATCCACACTCTGATGGACCAGGCACAGAATGGGGAAGATGTTATTCTTCATATTAAACCAGTTTCAGCTGTATGGGCACTCATCTCACGACGGCATTTACAAAGCTGCAGATTTGAGTTTGAGTCCGACTTGAGTCCCAAGAGTCTCCGGTTACAGTGCCAGTCCCCCCCAGTCCCACACAGGGAGGAGCCCATGGCGAATGTGACAAAAGACTGGTACGGTAGAGGTACACTCACACAACAGGCCACTGAGTCGTGACAGTTAATGTTCAGTAGCTGCAGGAAGAATCGGCCTGAATTAGAAGAGCTGAGGCCGGTTTGGGACAGCACATCCAGCGGTCATGTTTCTGCTAAAGGTGAACAACGGGTTATTATGACGCAGCCACAGACGTACGCTCGAGTGAGAACAGATACTGTAATGGATGGGTGTTAGCTCCTACAGAGGGTGAGTCATGCAGCCGTGGGTTGCTATAGAGAACAGGGTGACACTGGGGGGTTAGATAAAGCCAAATTGCACATTAAGTGGGAGGAAGCAGGATCTAAGCAGCTGTGTAACTCCAAAGGTAACGGTCGCGACAACACTGACAACATTATGGACTCGATCCCCACTAAGGCTGCTCGTGCTAAACGTTTATGCTTAGTACCACAGTGCTCCTCTGACCAAACTGTGCTATGTAGCTCTGTGATCATTGGCACCAGGCTTCCAGCGTAATGCAGCCCCGCAGCGCTATAATGCCAGTACACATGACACGATGAGGTGTCAGTGAATGGTCACACAAATATTCAGATTTAAAAAAGTTAAACTATTTCCAAAGAGACAGAGAAGAGAGAAAATAATATGCATGTGCCAGAGAGCTACACACTGAGCAGCAGTATGGAAGAGGAAGAAAAATCCATTTTGATGTCTCTGATCTTTAAACTGAATGTTAGAAAAGGTCACAGACCTGCCTCACTCTCCGTCTGCCGCCTCCCTGCCTGTCGATGTGTCGCTCTGTCCATTCACCTGTCTATCTCCTCTCTGCTTCCTGTTTGTCTCTCAGACTGTCTCATTTCTTATTCCGCTGTCTTCTCATCTGTCTGTCTCACTCTGCCCCCCTGTTTGACTTCCTTCGTCTGCCTGCATGCGTCTCTGCCTTTTGTACCTGACCACAGACCGATAAATGTCATTTCTTCTAAATAGGAGACAGGATGAGAAACACAAACACCGTGTAGGTGCTTCTGATTTCAGCCGTATAAGAGGTCTGATCCACGTTGAGAGGCCGTACTAACACAGTGTCGGCCATCGCTGTGCTCTGCTGCAGCAGTCTAGGAAAACACATGGCTGCATTGCTTCTTGACATCAGCTATAAGTAGATGCACATATCACATCAATATGTTTTGACGTTTTTGACGAGGTGTCATTCCCAAACATGTCAGTTGTCAGTGCATTTCAAAACAACGGTGCAAAAATACTCGTATTAACATTCTG